GGTGCTGTCGCAGGGCTCAGACTCTGGGGTGGAGATCTACGAGCCGTTCTTCACACAGGTGAGAGACACATTTTCATCTTATCTTCAATGAAGCATTTTAGTTCATGACATGAAGCTGTCGCTGTCAGCAGCATCAGGTCTGTGGGAGGAGCACAAGAGTTCATTAAAAAGAGACATTAGAGCACAAAAGCAAAGCTCAGTTTGATTGAACAGGTACAGGTCAGGTTTTACAGCTCGGCATCGTCCGTCCTGTGGTTGATTTGCTCTTCTGTGTCTTAAACCGTGGCATTCACAACTTTTCATTGTTCCCAGGTTTGTTTGTAGGCCCCGAAATCAGAAAGTAGCCTCAAACACTGGTGCTCCACAGCTGTTTCTGCACACAGGGCTAGCACACCTAGCAGAAAATGTCACAGTATTGTCCCAGATGCTTTAGGACACGGTGTTGTACAGAGCTCTGAGACTTGTGTCCTTGATGTTGTCGTCGTGTTAACTTTGTGCTTATTCAGGATGTTTACAGCTAAATCTTAGGCAGCAGATGTTTGCAGGTGTTGTTGTTGCAGAGTGTCAAACGTCCTGAAATGACTGTATTTGAACAGGAATGATTCTGATCTTCATGCCTCGCTGTTCCTGCGACGTGGTTCATACCACTCTCAGTGACAGCACACACGTCTGATCTCAGCTCATCTCCCTGAACACCTGAATGCAGATTCACTGACTGATTAATCAGTGTGTTCAATACAAATGATCAGTCTGTGTTTTTGAGTCTCTAACAGTCATTTAATCCTTTTCACAAGTAGGCCTTTTTGATGAGCTCACAGACGTCTGCTTATTATCAGCAGGATGGGAGAAACACTAACAAAGTATTTAGTTTAACGCTGCCATGACTCCTGTGTGCCCAAATTACACATCAGCCCTCGAGTGTTGGACAGACGCAGACTTTACTTTCCTAAACTTTCTTTTTGTCTTAATAATCTGCAGTGAACTGAGCTATAAATCTCCACAGAGAGCGGGAGACTGCCTGCAATATTCAGTCATTTAACTGTGACAGACTCCAGCTAATTATTCTTCCTCATTGTGTGTTTTCCTTCCTGCTGGTGATCAGCACAGAGCTTCATCAGTAAAAGTCTTTTTAGTTCCAGCCTGGTTTTCTTTTCTCGCTCAGTCCTCGGCTGTGGCCAAAAATAGCTGGAAGTTGGCTGTTTTTAGCCTCGCAGTGACGTGCAAAGCACCACTGATTTCTACAGCCTCGTGAACAAATGTGTGTTTATTGGATTGATGGAAAAAACCTTAAAACTTGCTGTGAAAACAAAAGTCTTGGTGGATAAACCAGACTGTGACTCTGAATCCAAATGTCCTGTGTGAGTTCAACAGTTGGGAAAGTCACAGTTTAAGCCTCATCCTCTTCCTCCTGAGGATTAAAAACCTCTGCAGATGGAGAGTCCAGATTCGCCTTTTTTCCCTTTGGCCGAGGTTTAGATTTAATTTGGAGCAAAGGGAAGCCAGCCAATCAGGCGGCTAGTTAGTGGGCCGTGTAATACCGCAGCGGAGATAACATTCACGGCAGATTTGAACGCTGTCGACTGTAATGCCTTCAGCCCAGAGCTCACCGACCGGTTAACCCCTCCCCCCTCGCTTCTCATGGGCTGTAATGAGAAGCTTATCTCCTCCTCCTCTTCCTCCACAGCCAAAAAATTGGCTGCCATCTTTGCACAAACATCCCATTTAAATGTCATCTAATCTCATCTCATCTGTCCGTGAGGCGGAAGGCAGCGTGGAGGCTGCCAGTGGAGATAAGAGAGATTTGGCAGTGAGGTGGAGACGGGAGGAGGAAGAGAGCGAGAAGCAGGAGGAAGAAGGAAGAATTCGCTGTCTGTCAGTTTACTGTAATTATAGTTACACGTCACGATCACAGAGACTCTCCAATTATTTGTACTGCTGCGTGCACATCTGTGAGAAAGATACAACAGCTGGAGGAGCTTTAACTATAAGATGTCCCGTTAATCACCT